AGTCGCAGGAGGGCAGCAAAAAACCTAGAGCCGGCCCTGGCTGAGGCCGGGGTCGCTGCGGGGGAGTTGAACTGTCTCCGGGCAGCCAGGAAATTCCCGGGGGAGGGGGAGTTAATTGGATCTGTTGCCCCTCCCCGTCACTCAACCCCACTGGCTGCCCCTGAACTGCCCCCAGTCACCTGCCCCCCCCACTGCCCCCTTCCCTCCTCCAGCAACCTGCCAGCCCCCCCTCCCCGGCCCCCTGAGAGCTGGTCCTGACCCGTTTTCTTTGCAGATCTCAAAGCTGGAAAGAAAATCTCCTAAACATTTGCCCCCTTTTCTGTCTCAGGGTCTGTTACTAATCGAATGTGCCCTGAGATTCCCCCCGTCTCTCTAATGATAAAATACCCACAACATCCCCGATTTACCCCTTTTCTCAGATCCTTCAACATGGGTGTCCCATCTGTGTGAATGTCGCCCCCTTTTCTCTATTCATTTATCAGATATTGTTGTGAAATACACCCCGATTTTACCTCCTCTCCACCACTGACGTCAAACCCCTCCGATTTTCTACTTTCCTCTCGAATATTCAAAACTGGATCCAAAAATCCCTCACATTTCTGCCCTTTTCTCTTTCATTTCTGAACGCTGATCTCAAATCTCAGGTTTTGACTTTTTCTGTGTCATTTTCAAATGTCAGATAAAAATCCTCTCGGGTTTGGGCTGTTCCCCATGTTCCTAAATCCCAGCAACTTCTCCGTCCTTGGAGGGAACCTGTTGCCCTGAGTCGTTCTCCATGCTGGATGTTCCAGGCAGTTAAGTTCCCCAGTGATCATCTTCCCCCCTCTCCTTTGAGAATCATTTGTTCCCTCCTTTATCTCTGTTAAAATGTTTGCCGATGAATGAGACCAGCCACATCTCTAATACACGTCAAAGCCAGAGGCCTCCCTCTGTTTGGGGATCAGTCGTTCCCAGCTGGTAACAGGAGAGTTGGCTGGACCCTTTTCTTTTCTCCAGCTGGCACGGGATGAGGAGGTCACTCTGAGTGCAGTGTGGGTCCAGAAATATCCCAAACCCCATGACAAAGGGTCCCCATGAGGGGCTGCTTCCCACTGTGCTAAGATGCAGCCACCTCTGGGGTGGATCCATGGTGGCCATTATTTAACAGTGACAGGAAATGTGAACTTTTTAATTATTTTGGTCCTCCAGGCCTTCACCTCTCCTGTTCAAGAAGCAAACCCAAGGCTCCCTCTGCCTCTTTGAATGGCCGGCAGAGGATGGTGATAACTTTCTATCCACTTATCAAACACTGAGAGGTGAAACCACCACCGATTTCTGCTTCTCTTCCCTCTGGACAACTGCAGGAACTTCAGGTTCTGTAGGGAAAATTCTTCCTGAGTCCTTGTCCTAGATCTGGAGGTGAGGGAGGTGGGAAGGGG